AAATAAATGTAGTCTTGTCGTTCTATTTTATACTCGCGTGCTCAGCGCCTTCTGGAGGACAAAAGATGTTTTCGAAAGTCATTCTAATTGCAACGGCAGGGTCGGCGAATGTTATGTTGGAAATCTCTCAAATTATTCACACTAATGATTCATCATTTCAATGTTATTTTAGGCGAATGGATTAAAACTTCTTGAAATAGGTCAAATTTCATTTCTTTCTGTTTGATTTGCTACAAGAGTAACTTTCGGAAAACATATGAGGCGATAGAATATAAAAACTTTACTATTTTACAGAAGAAAAAATCTCGGGCATTTTAACACCTGCCATTTGGAGCGAACGAATTCAGTCCCTATTTGACAGCATAGCTTCATGAATAAATTAGTTTCACATGGATATCACAAAACTATTTTAAGATAAAATCCATGATGTTCGATATATTTTTCAAAGTTATAATTAATTCATTTTTAAATTTCACGGTGGTCATTCTGATCTTGCCATATTTATCCATCGTCGTTCGATGACATATTCCAGTTAAGTCATTAATTGTTACAAAGGAAGAGTTCCTGGGAAGGATATTTTATTGGTAATAAATCCTTTCTCGCCTTGTACTGAATTTTCCACGATTTGTTCCTAAAGAAGATACTTATTAGGAGTACTTAGTGATAATAGAACAGGTAGAGTATTGTCTGAAATTTTTCATCTAATAAAATGGTTTTGGTGTTTACGGTGATGGCGTGATTGCAACATATATTGTTATGATCACCCTGCGTAAGATGATATAGTATGCAATGCAAGGGGATCTCATGATATATTCGCGCAAAAAAAGATACAAAATGAAAGAAAGTGAACTTGCATTATCATCAGCAAGGACTTGACACTTAGACTGTAGTATTCACGTTTTGTATAAAACATGAATTATTATTGATCGCTTACCGAGAGATAATAAGAGCAATAGCTTGACACCAGCAAGAACTAACAGTCTAGAACACTACGTATGATTACATCAGATTTCATTAATAAATCAGTTGTGGCATCACTGAGAATGACAAGCAACTTTCGAAAATATTACAACAAGATATTTCTGAGCGTCAAGGAATACTTTGCACGTTAACTTGACTCCAGTAAAAAAATTACTACCATTAATAAATTATAAATTGGATTTCGTTCATGAGAAATCATAACCTTATCATCTCGCTTTTGTGTCGCAATTAAAACGATTTTCGCTTCTCAAGAAACAAGCCAATAACGGAATTAATCGTAATTTCCTCGATTGAACCTATTTTCCATTAACTTACGTACCAATTTATTATCGGACAGGGTTATGGAGCATTATCAATTGAGTTGATGACGTAAATTTGACACCATAAAGAGTTTAAAAGCTGACGTCTCGAGCGTTAGCCCTTCGTCAAAGCACTGTTATCAGACAGTTCAATGAGCCAATCACATTCAAAGTTGTAGTTTAAATCAATCAATTATATCAAACAGCTGAACAATTTACGCCTCCTTTGTCAGTCTTTTAATGTAAATTTCTCTTTCTTTTTTAACTTAGCTACTCACTCTTATGACTACAGACCGAATTGGACTCCACTCAGTCCTTTCACCGTTTCCTAAATAAGTTTTACAGATAATCATTTTTTAACTAACTATAAATATGACTAAACTACGGTTGCCTCGGGTTGAAGTATCATCATTTCAACATGCCAAAAATTGCGCATAGTTTTTTCCCGATAGTTCTAATGACAGTTTATTTTAACATTGGAGGCTTGCTTTAGCAACAAAAGGATAAAAAACGACAAAACGTGACACTGATCTAGGTCAGCCGTTGAATGTTTTTCAAGACAGTGAGAACTGTTTAGTTACTTATTGTATTTGGCCTTAACGAACAAAAACCCTCCAGAAGTCACCTGTGGACAATCCAAAATGTTCTGTATCATTGTTGATTAAGTCGTCACATTCCCATCTTGAGCTCCCTTTTAAAAACCAGCGATATTTCCCGTGGACACGAGCAACGAATAGATTTCTCCTTTTTCCTTTAAAAGGATATCCCCACTGTTTATCACCCCATTGATTGCAATCAGCAGCTAACTTCGAGTTGTCATCATTCATCCTCACAAACGAGCCACACGCTTTCGGATTGGCATCTGTCTGACCACTGAAGTATTGTACTACTGCTTCACCACTGCTGTTACCAGCCGTGGTCAAATGGAAAGTACGTCCCTTGTTTTTGCGGCAGTGGAATCTCAACTGAGTGAAAGACAATTGTGTTCTCAGTTCCTTCATGGCATCTGTCGTGAGTAACAAGGACTTGTTGTGACATTTACTTATTTCATGGTATGATGATTCCTCTGAAAACTGTAGCAAAGATAGGTTGCCGACGACAACGTTGGAGACCAGAAGCCAACCTCCTGGAAAAAAGAAATGAAATGAAATGAAATTGTTTATTTTGCAAAATAATATTGCATTCCATTAATTATAGAAGGACAGTTTGTACAGAAGTAAAAAAAAACCACTGTTATCGTTATTAGTTTTTCTTAAACATCCATTCCTTACCTCCATCGGTTGTCATATCACAGTAGACCTTTAAAAGGCTTCCGCTCTTCTTAAGAGCGATCCAGTACTCCCCGTCTTTAAGATGGGAACTTGCGTTCCGAATTTCCTCACAAGAATGACCTAAAGAAGGAGATGCGGTTTTTTCC